ATATTTCAATATCAGAAAGTTTTTTTTTTTTTTTCTATAAACAAAATTATAAAAATAATGGGTGACCAAATAGCGGGGTTGCCCGTAGAGATTGGGATGATGGCGAGGCCAAAGATTGGGGTTAGTTTGCCGAAAATGAAGGTGAAGGGTTGGCTACAAAAGGGAAGGAGACTAGGTTCGTTCCCCAACCTTACTCGATTACCTATGCATGTCTTGGAAAGGAGAAGACACTTGTTCCTAGCCAGATAATAACTTCAGGAGGAATCTGATAGGGTTATTAGTAGGTGGGAATACCAATATATTTCGTTGGTTTAAGTAAAAGTAAATTAATTTTTAAATAAAATTTTAGATTTAATTTTTGTAAATAAAAAAATAATCACTGAAAAAATTATTTTTATAAAATTTAACCCCACTTGACATCAAGTTAATTAAGGTTGAATATAATTTTTTAAAGGTTAAATCTTTAATTTAATTTTTAAATTATTGTACAAACTTGATTTGATCCCTAAATTAAAAAAATATTTGATTTGGACCTTAAATTATTGTATGAACCCTTGATTTAGTCGTTACTGTTTACTAATTTATCCCGAATTGGTCATTCTATACAAAAACTAACAGACGTGTCTAATTATTAACGTGATATGTGATTGTTAAATTATTATTTTCGTAGTTAAGTTATTATTTTTTGCCATTAAGTAATAGACACATCAGCTATTTTTTGTATGAAAAGATCAACTTAAGATAAATTGGTAAACAGTAAGATAAAATTGGGGATATCTACAATAGTTTAGGGACTAACTTAAGGATTTTTTTAGTTTTGGGATCAAATTGAAGGTCTATATAATAGTTTAAGGATCAAATTGAGAGTTTAACTTTTTTTTTAAATACCAAAAATAAAAAATAAAAATTAGGTGGGAATTATTGTTAGTATAATTATTTACTCTCCCCAATAAAATGTTATGGCATCAGAGAATGACGCTAGCAGCAGAAAGGAAATGAGCCTTTTGCCGCAATCAAGCAATTTGAGGGCTGATTTTCCACCAATGAAAAAAGTGTTCAATGGTAAATCTTCCACAAGCAACGAGATTAGGGGCTAAAAAGCCCTTTTTGGCTAAGGTTGTTGAATGTAGAATGATGTGTTAGTGGTACCTTATGCTAGTAGGACGAAT